TATCTTCTCGGACTAGTTTTATGGGAGATTACTATATCACTGTATCACTATCGTCCTGTTGTTCATTGATTTGCTCAAGTGGGCACCAGTCATGTCTGCATTTGTCCCTGTCACACGGTACTGTAGCCCGATGGCTTATAGGGGACTCTTTCAGAATCAAGGGGATGAGGATAATTGTTACTATTTTTGGCATATGGAATATGCCATATGTAGCTTGCTAAGCTCTGCTGAGTAACTTCCCAGGATCTGACAATCTTATGATGGGTTATAAACAACCCATCATAAGATTCAAATTAACTCTAGAAATTTTAGCTATCAAAAGCCTCAAATCAAATAAAACACTCATAGGATAAGTTATGAAACCAATTTTTAAATCGAAAAACACATTCTTTGAACCAAACCAGTACATATAGAACCTGTTATTAGGTACCATAATTATTTCAACTCTCATTTTAAAAATCCAGTGAAATGCAGCTGCAAAAAAACAAACCAAACAACAACACTATTATATATATATGTATATATATATATATAAGATTATCCATGACTTCTACTCAAATCTCTTCGATAGCCATGTCCACTTGCCGACATACCAAATTCCACAGGATGGATATGTCGTTCCCAATGTTCTCCCTTCCGAAATCCAACACGCCATTTCATCGATAAAGAAACAAACAGCACCCGGCCCAGACAAGGTCAGACCTGAACACCTGAAGAACCTGCCGTCAGTACTCATCAATACACTGGCTCGGCTCTTCACACGCTACCTGTCTGAATGCAAGGTTCCATCCCAATGGAAAACCAGCAGGACCGTACTACTGTTCAAGAAGGGAGACATCCATGACATTGGCAACTATCGCCCGATCTGCCTATTGTCTGTCATCTACAAGTTGTTCACTCGAGTCATCCTAAATAGGATTGGCAGAACACTAGATGAAGGACAACCATGCGAGCAAGCCGGGTTCCGCAAAGGATTCAGCACCATCGACCATCTCCAAACGATAACCAAGCTAATTGAGGTTTCTCGGGAGTTCAAGATGCCGCTCTGCTTAACGTTCATTGATTTAAAGAAGGCCTTTGATTCTGTTTAGACAGAAGTGGTCATTGAAGCCCTAGCCAATCAGGGCATTCAAGCCCAATACATGAGGATCCTCCGTGAGCTGTATTGCGGATTCACTACCAGGATCTCACCATTCTACAAAGAAGTGATCGTTGATGTCAAGAGAGGGGTGCGGCAGGGTGATACCATTTCACCGAAACTCTTCAGTGCCACCCTCAAGAACATCATGCGATGACTGGAATGGGAAGGAATGGGAGTGAAGATAGATGGTCGGCAACTACACCACCTCCGCTTTGCTGATGACATTGTTTTAATAACACCAAACATCAGCCAAGCGGCACAAATGCTGGCCGACTTTGACCGTGAGTGTGGAAAGGTAGGACTACAGCTGAATCTTACGAAGACAATGTTTATGAGAAACAGCCTCGTTCCTGACGCCCCATTCGCTCTCAACGGAACAACCATCTCCGAATGCAACAGCTATGTGTACCTAGGTCGAGAGGTCAACATGACAAATGACCTGGCACCCGAGCAGCGCAGGAGGAAGACAGCGGCTTGGAACGCCTTCAAGAATGTCGAAGAAATAGCTAAGAGGACGAAGAACCTCCGGCTCCAGGCACATCTCTTTGATTCCACTGTTCTTCCTGCATTAACATATGCCTCAGAGACCTGGGCCCTACGCAAACAAGATGAGAACGCTATTCAGGTCTCCCAAAGAAGAATAGAAAGAGCTATGCTTGGAATATCACGTTTCACTCAAATGAGAGAAAGAATCCAGAGTTCTGACATCCGTTGACGATCAAGAATCAGGGACGCTGTCTCATTTGCCAAGGTGTCGAAAATCAGATGGGCTGGTCACGTAATGAGATTTAAAGACGACCGCTGGACTAGAGCTGTTACTGACTGGATTCCACGGGATGTCAAAAGACCGCGTGGCCGCCCACCTACCAGATGGTCAGACTTCTTCGTCAAGATCATGAACGATCAGTTTGAGGCCCTCCATGTTCCTGGAGCGAACAGATGCCATTGGGCTACACTAGCACGCGACAGGGACAAATGGAGACGTTACTGGCGCCCGCTCGAGCAAATCGACGACTACCGGGAAGTTAAGTGATTAAGTGATTAAGATATATATATATAAAGAGAGACTATATAGACATAGCAGCATAAAAACTTGAAACCAATTTTAAGAAGCATGAGGAAAACCTTTTTTAAATTACCTCTAGAAATTTTAGCTATCAAAATCCACAGACCAAATAAAACACTGGTAGGGTAAGTTTTGCAACCAATTTTATAAATCTAGAAACTCATGTTTTGAACAAAACCAGTACCTTTTGAAACTGTTTTTGGATACCACAATTTATTTCAAGTCGATTTTAACAATCCAATGCAATGCAGATAAAAACAAACAAAACAAGAACAACAGCTATATATACAACTATATATAAGCTATATAAACGATATAAGCAACTGTATATATGCTTGTTTGAGGGTTCTAGCAGGGAAACACAGCTACTTGTATGCCCTCCACCGAAGACCAGTCCATCTATATTCAGGCAAGTGCGTCATCTTCGACAGAGCACGCAGCATTGGGAGAGATACACATGGAGCGGTAAAGGACACCCGCCTAGCCAACCAGATCAGCCGAAACAACCCTGACGATCAAAGGGGTGACAGATGTTCCAGCCAGATCGCCCTCATATCCGGGAGGTCAGTGACAGTGATATAGATAGATAGATAGATAGATAGATAGATAGATAGATAGATATAGATATAGGCATAGCAGCATAAAAGCTTGGAACCAATTTTTATGAAGCATGAGGAAAACCTTTTTGGACTTCATTTCAATAGTTTTTATACTTCAGTTATTTCAAATCATGAGCTTTCTACACCTAATACTTTAGCAAGTTTTACTTTAGGTTCAATATCTATCTCTACAGTTCTTCCTACATAGCGGCATATTTTTAAGTTCAAAAGAATTTCAACTGTTAATAACCATTAATTAATGCTTTTCCAATAGGAGATTTTAGGTTGGGATTTTGTTGAGATTTGTTGACATTTGAAAATTTGTTAGGATGTTTTTCAAAATGATTTGTTTTGTCATCAATGGAATTGGACAGAGTACAAAATAGAAACACACTAAAGGTGCTGAATATTACTGAGATCGCTACCAAAGGTATTTCTTTTGTGAGGTTATCCAAAGCAACTAACCAAAACACTATTCACTATTTCCACCAGTTTAAGACTCAAGTAGCTTTCCCTCTCTCTCTAGGTATCCATAGATGGACGGACCCTCCATATTCTGGTGATTAAGGGTGAAAAGCAAATAAAAACTTGTTCATTTATATGTATCTCCATTGCAAAAATACAAGAATTTGTACTATTCTGCCTAGGAAGCAGAATTCCAAGGTACAACTTTTACTGGTTTGGGTAAAATTATAATCCAGGGCACATAGAGAATTGAGGATAAATGCAATCATTTTGGATCAGTCAGATGCTACAAATAGGAGACAGATGTGTATCATGTCCCGATTTCGACTTGATGCCCGATGGTTCCCATAACACACCTGGATTCTCATGATGTCCACTGAAACTACAAGCACAGCAGCATTGTGGCGCTGTGCTCACATCACACAGCAGCCTGTGCCAATTGTTGATCAAACTACATATGATCGATCTCAGGTACAATGATCAACACTGCTGCTGCTGTGGATCAAAAAAACATGGATTATTACTGAACGAATGAGTTCAGAGGTGTTGTTCTGTAAATATCACGCTACAGGAAGACAGAACATGCATAAGTTACTAAGACCAGCACAGGCTATGGTAGGGCAGTGTGAACAACATCAGCACATCATGCTTACATAAAAAGGACCTAAAGATTGCAGAATCTCATGGGTGGGAAAAGGGAGTGAAACAAGTGTCGGACCCAAGGCCAACCCAGGTCTGCTCCATGGATGGTGAAAGAAATTAAAAGGGAGCTGAACTATGTAGGGAAGTCAATGAACTGAATGCAGGTCCAGTCATCAGATGGACACAGCTGAAGCCTCCGGTGAGAGTCGCTGATAGCACCGCTTTGGGATTTATAAATTGTGTGAGTGTCTTGGTTGTTTAGGCAGAAGGTTCTGCTTCTTATAAATCGGTTCTTTCTGGGAAGTGGGAAGCAAAGTACTTGAAGCAAATCTAGATGAGCAAAAGAATGGAGCTACGAGGCAAGGGGGGGTGCGGGGAGAAGAAGGGGGTTGGTCTAGGATGTCCCAGTATAGCTGTGAGCGGGTTTCCTGGGCGAGACTCAGCCTCTCAGACTTCAGAATCCAGGACATAAGCCAGGAGCGATAGCACAGCGGTAGGGCATTTGCCTTGCATGCAGCCAACATCGCTGACCTGAGTTCAATTCCTGCGCCCCTCTCGGAGAGCCCGGCAAGCTACCGAAAGTATCTCGCCCGCATGGCAGAGCCTGGCAAGCAATCCGTGATGTACTCGATATGCCAAACACAGTAACAACAAGTCTCATGATGGAGACGTTACTGGGCCCACTCAAGCAAATCGATGAAAAACGGGAGGACTGTGACCGTGATCTTTGTGGTGGTATGCTCTGGACAATCAGTGGGGATTTAAAACTGGAATTTTCCTAGGGATCAGGATGAAGGTGGATAAAAGAAGAACTAGATTTCTCTCAGGCACAGTTATTATTCAGTGATGGTCTAAGAACAGAACTCAGAAGACATCATATGGATAGAAGTGTTTATTGTAATTATTTGAAAAACCAGGCTTTAAACATAAAAGAAAGGCATTCAGTGAGACTGAGGGAGGAGGTATAAGGGACGTGGTGTCCAGGGTTGAAATTCGGTGGAGATCTCCTTCTAGAATGAATTTTAAGACCGGAAGAATAACCTCGAGAGGCTGCATGTGGATTCAACTAGCAGGTTGCTGACCTTATTTAGCTCTCAAACTTGCAGACGTATGGCAGTACAAACAGACAGTCATAATTTTGCCATTTTTCATAGCCTAAAGAGACAAGAAGAGGAGGGATCAGTGGAATGCTTAAAGCTGGAAACAGGAGAGAGAGGCATCACAGACAGGGCCAAAGTCCCTCCCTCTTTTTGTGTGTCATGCTCCTGCTCCAAGGAGAAGGGGCTCAGAGAAAAGAGAGCTGAGAGAGACTAGGAAAGGGCTAGTGAGTCATGAATTCAGGAATGTACCCCCTTCCAAAAGGTCAGGCTCAGAAACTGGTTTTGGGGATATGTCAGAAGTGGAACAGATATAAACATAGAAACCTGTTTGTTCTTACCTGTGTGGCTTAGAACGGCCCCACAGTACCCGGAATTGGTAGGGACTCCTTTCTCCCAGGCCTCATAGTTCAACACATCGCCATTACTCCACTCCCATCCACCTGCATTGGGTTTAGTCTGTGAAGACAGGACAGACGGACACCTGAGTCTCAGTTGCTCCTTTGATGCTCTGGCAGCATGTTCACTGGAATCCCTGAGTGACACCCAGCACCAGAGAATCTGTTTGGCCCTTTAAAGAGGAGATCTGGAGAGGAAATCTAAAAATTGTCTCTAAAGCCTTGATCTAGTGTGTAAGAATCAAAGTCACCAACACCACTGAGAGTAGCAGGATTGTTGAGCACAACATGTGGTGCAATCCAGGCTAGGCACCTCTGGGCCACAAAGGTCACGCAGATTCTGAAGTGGACAGTGTACCCACCCTTCACTGATGAACAACTCAGCACATCTTAGGCACACCATCACTGGCCGCAACAAAAAAATTGACTTAGGAAGTCTTCGGTACACATTGTTTGAAAAGGGGGACTGACATCAGCTAGAGATGAGGCCATGCCGCACAAAGCACAGCTGCATATGGGCTCAGGGCTTCATTCTCCAGAAGAGCATCTGAATACTCTGGAATTCAGGGTGGCCTAGTCTAGTTATTGGGCAGACTAAGGGAATCAATCGGATGACTCAGAAGGGCAAATGGAGCTGTAAAGTTACCCGAGAACAGAAGACGCAATCTCACCTCTGTGTTGTCATGGAGTCCAATCCAGACAAGAGAGGGTGCTGTCCCACTGTTCTTGATGAGGGAGCCCACGAAGTAGCCCTCAGACTGAGTGGACACAGACACGAGGTGTCCATTGCGACGTTTCTGGCATTCCGACTATGAGAGGAAGAAAGAGATTGGAAGAAGCTTGCATTACACTGGGACTTAAGACGTGGAGGAAGATAAGGAACTGCAGGTGTACTGTAAATTGTGCTTGTCATTCTACCTAGTATGTCCCAATAAAATGGAAGCTCCCCTGAACACCATTGTCTAAGGGCCCCACCCCCCAACCCCTCCCACCCCCAGAAATACACATCATTCCCCTTTCAATTACAGTTACTCACATCCGCATCCATCCAGGATTTTGCTGTCTTAAAGAAAGCATAACAGTGGTTGCCATAGGCATTGGAGCCTTTGGGGCACCTGGCTCGTGGAGACAGCTCTTCATTCTGCAGGTCTTCCCCTGACATAGGAAAATGTAAAGGAGTGACGGAGTAAAAAAAGAAGAATGGGTATTGTGTTGGAATGGGCACCACGGGGATATGCGTGAGGGCAGTACTTGAAATAGTGAACCATGACCATCCCTCAGCCTTTCCAACACATTCAGAGTGTTTTCAAGAGTCACCAGAAACTTTTGATGAGAAATCCTCTGTTCCACTCTTTCACATGGATTTTGTAAAATGCCCAAACTGTGCTCCCGGATCTGAGTATCCCACGACACAGGGGCTGGATATGGGAACGCTTACCTTTCACCTGGGCTTGGAGCACCAGTTAGGAGAGCACCAGCCAAGGAACAGTGGCCATGGGAGGCAGCATCTTGTCTCACGTGAGAAGGCTGTCAGAGGCAGGGATGGAATTTGGGTCAGGCAGAAGGCAAGGAGAAGTCACTGCTTCATCTCCCTGTCTCCTTTGTTTTATTCTCATTGACCTGACTAACTCGAGTCTCGCAGTAGGGTGCCAGAAGTGATTTGATATTCTGAGATTCTACCCATGAAATCTCTCAGGTTTACCAGTGCTGAGTCTGACAGTGCTTGTGTCCTCTCAGGATTGGGAATCTTTCCCAGCCTTCCCGTGGAATCTGAGAATGAGCCCTGACTTGGAGAGCATCTTGTATCAACTCCCACTCACCTTACTTGCCGGGTTGGTTAATGTTGTGTCAGATCAAGAAGGAACACACTTTTAAAAGATGTTCTGAGGGCGGGGCACTGCAATGAATGACACCAAATTCTGACCTTGTTAGAGCTGCTGGGAAAGGCAAGTCAGGGGTTTTACAAATTTCTGAAATGGGGAGGAGTCTTCCTCTAAGTGGCTGGGAATTGCCACAGGTGTAGCCTCTTTCAGGTACCAAATTCACACCTCCTCTGGACTACTGCCATCTGTAATTTTCCCCATATCAATTTTTGCTTATAGCCTACAAGATATGAAATCAGATTGCATCACTTTTTTCCTTTGGTACCATGTAGAAGAGGAAGAATTTCTAGAAATCAGGACAGGGAGACTAAACTTGAGAGAAGAACTCTGTTATGTTTCATCAGCACATTGTTCATGTTGTAGGTGCTCTAACTTTGTCATGTTTTTAATAAATAATTTTATAGTTATATTACACCATCATATGAATTAGAAAGTAAAATGGTATTTGATCAGTCAATACCTGCACAAAATAATACTATACATGATACATACCTACTGGTGTAGCCCTCAACACAACACAGACACACACACACATATGCACACATATACACACTCACACACATACACATGTGCACCTTCAATCTGAAAGGCGGAATGATTGTGCGTTGACAAAAGGCAGCACCTTTCATGCAACAACCCGTGTTAAAACACTGTTCCCTGAAAGACCCTTGTGTGTTACTTTGAATATCTTGGACTCTGTAAGATATTTCCAGTAATGCCTAGCACTGACGGGCCAGGGTGGCACCTCATTCTTGGACGCCCTCCTTGATGAAGTGCTGTCCTGTTGTCATGTTTCACCATATTGTACCTGGAAGTCCATTGAATCACTTGGAATATCGCAGTTCCCAAAACCCAACGCACAGGAGCAGACACATTTTGAAGACAAAATAGTGAAATGGATAATCATCAGGAGATATAGCCTCAGAGAAAAGAAAATTAAAAACAAATGGTTAAAGAAGCGACATGAAGGTGGTTTGGAGGAAAGTGAACTGTAGTTCCCTAAGATCTGGCTTTGCTGGCGTTGATATATTCTTCCATCTATCAATCTCCTTAAGATTACACGTAATATTAGAGCAACATATCTACACATTATTACTTGCTTTCTTTTTCAAATTTTCTTTTTACTTCACTCTAATTTAACTTTAAAACACCTATCAAATCACAGACTCATGTTTCTTTGAAAAAATTTCATTGAAAAATTGTCTCTAAGGTTATATGGAGAGATTAAAATATGTTACTAATTAAACCTGTGTTTCAGTTGAGAAATGTATCACCCTTTTTGTTCACATTTACATCTTATATGAAATTATAAATATACTTTCAAATGAAAAGTATGTCTGTATATATATATGTTATACTGATAAATTCCTTGTAGACTGCTTATGAATAAAGGGAAGTTTTCTGTGATTGGCATGAATGTTTCTCAATGGAATTTTTCTGAAAACAAAATTTTCTAAGTATATATAACATGACACTGTGAAAATTTTATACATAAAGAGAGAAGACCAAAAGAAACCACAAGAAAATTAGTGCTAAAACTCTATTCCATGTAGTCGTGAGAAAAAACTAATGTATAGGTTGTTTGTAGTCCTGAGGAGATATTTCTCTGGTATCTGAAAGAGGCACAGCTGTGGCAATTCCCAGCCGCTGCTGGAAAGACCCCTCCATATCTCAAGAACCTCCAGGAATCCCCGCCTACTCTTTCCCAGCAGGCCCTCAAGGTTGCAACTTTGCGTTCTTCATTGAAGTTTCCCAACCCCAGAACATCTTTTAAAAGGATGGACTCTCCTGACCTACAGACTCTCAAAAATACCTACAAGAAAGGTAAGTGGGAACTGATGCAAGACACTAGAGGGAGGAGGGAAAAGACTCACACTCCGAAGAGAATACAAGCGCTGACAGGCATAGCAGTGATAACTTTGTAAGGCATCCTGGGAAGAATATTCAGAATATCAAATCTGTTCTGTCACCGTACTTGGAGATATCAGTCGTCTGGGAATTAAACAAATATAACAGGGAAATGGAGCAGTGGGTTCTTCTCCTTGCCTTCTGCCTGACCCAAATTCCATCCCTGCCTCTGACAGCCTTCTCCCGTGAGACAAGATGCTGCCTCCCATGGCCACTGTTCCTTGGCTGGTGCTCTCCTGCCTGGTGCTCCAAGCCCAGGTGAAAGGTAAGCGTTCCCACATCCAGCCCCTGTGTCGTGGGATACTCAGATCCGGGAGCACAGTTTGGGCATTTTACAAAATCCATGTGAAAGAGTGGAACAGAGGATTTCTCATCAAAAGTTTCTGGTGACTCTTGAAAACACTCTGAATGTGTTGGAAAGGCTGAGGGATGGTCATGGTTCACTATTTCAAGTACTGCCCTCACGCATATCCCCGTGGTGCCCATTCCAACACAATACCCATTCTTCTTTTTTCACTCCGTCACTCCTTTACATTTTCCTATGTCAGGGGAAGACCTGCAGAATGAAGAGTTGTCTCCATGAGCCAGGTGCCCCAAAGGCTCCAATGCCTATGGCAACCACTGTTATGCTTTCTTTAAGACAGCAAAATCCTGGATGGATGCGGATGTGAGTAACTGTAATTGAAAGGGGAATGATGTGTATTTCTGGGGGTGGGAGGGGTTGGGTGGGTGGGGCCCTTAGACAATGGTGTTCAGGGGAGCTTCCATTTTATTGGGACATACTAGGTAGAATGACAAGCACAATTTACAGTACACCTGCAGTTCCTTATCTTCCTCCACGTCTTAAGTCCCAGTGTAATGCAAGCTTCTCCCAATCTCTTTCTTCCTCTCATAGTCGGAATGCCAGAAACGTCGCAATGGACACCTCGTGTCTGTGTCCACTCAGTCTGAGGGCTACTTCGTGGGCTCCCTCATCAAGAACAGTGGGACAGCACCCTCTCTTGTCTGGATTGGACTCCATGACAACACAGAGGTGAGATTGCGTCTTCTGTTCTCGGGTAACTTTACAGCTCCATTTGCCATCCTGAGTCATCCGATTGATTCCCTTAGTCTGCCCAATAACTAGACTAGGCCACCCTGAATTCCAGAGTATTCAGATGCTCTTCTGGAGAATGAAGCCCTGAGCCCATATGCAGCTGTGCGTTGTGCGGCATGGCCTCATCTCTAGCTGATGTCAGTCCCCCTTTTCAAACAATGTGTACCGAAGATTTCCTAAGTCAATTTTTTTGTTGCGGCCAGTGATGGTGTGCCTAAGATGTGCTGAGTTGTTCATCAATGAAGGGTGGGTACACTGTCCACTTCAGAATCTGCGTGACCTTTGAGGCCCAGAAGTGCCTAGCCTGGATTGCACCACATGTTGTGCTCAACAATCCTGCTACTCTCAGTGGTATTGGTGACTTTTATTCCTACACACTAGATCAAGACTTTAAAGACAATTTTTAGATTTCCTCTCCAGATCTCCTCTTTAAAGAGCCAAACAGATTCTCTGGTGCTGGGTGTCACTCAGGGATTCCAGTGAAAATGCTGCCAGAGCATCAAAGGAGCAACTGAGACTCAGGTGTTCATCTGTCCTGTCTTCACAGACTAAACCCAATGCAGGTGGATGGGAGTGGAGTAATGGCGATGTGTTGAACTATGAGGCCTGGGAGAAAGGAGTCCCTACCAAATCCGGGTACTGTGGGGCTGTTCTAAGCCACACAGGTAAGAACAAAGAGGTTTCTATGTTTATATCTGTTCCACTTCTGACATATCCCCAAAACCAGTTTCTGAGCCTGACCGTTTGGAAGGGGGTACATTCCCGAATTCATGACTCGCTAGCCCTTTCCTAGTCTCTCTCAGCTCTCTTTTCTCTGAGCCCCTTCTCCTTGGAGCAGGAGTATGACACACAAAAAGAGGGAGGGACTTTGGCCCTGTCTGTGATGCCTCTCTCTCCTGTTTCCAGCTTTAAGCATTCCACTGATCCCTCCTCTTCTTGTCTCTTTAGGCTATGAAAAATGGCAAAATTATGACTGTCTGTTTGTACTGCCATACGTCTGCAAGTTTGAGAGCTAAATAAGGTCAGCAACCGGCTAGTTGAATCCACATGCAGCTCCTTAAGGATATCTTTCCAGGCTTAAAGGGAGCCTGGAAGGAAATCTCCACCCGCTCTCTACCCTGGACACCACATTGCATCTACCTCCTCCCCAGTTGAATCCTGGTTTGCCAAATAATAATAATAAACACTTCTATCCATATGATGTCGTTTGAATTCTTTCCTCTGAGCATCACTGAGGAATAATTCTGTGTGAGAGAAATCCAGTTCTT